TATATATATATATAAAAAGTCGATTGCGGAAGGTTCCTTGGCTTGAAAAGTACATCTTCGGTCAAAAAAGGGCACACCTGATTTAGGGTGTTCAATTTCACTTATTTATTTATTTTATAAAGACTGCTTCATTTATTCATTGTAAATAATAAAAAAAAAAATAGCACAAGAAAAAAGCTTTGCATGTACAATTACCATTGCCATTAATTTTATGAAGTCATTGATGAATTAATTAGACCGTAATTAATCAAAAATATAATTAAAATATGGGAATTAATTATTTTTTTGTTAAAATATAAAAATGTACACATTTCCACATTCATTGGAACTTTCTTTCATGATGAGATTCACCTCCAAAAGACCTGGCACATCTGTCTGTATCAAAAATCAAATGTGGCCAAAAGTTTGCCCACCCCTCTTGTAGTCTTCAAATGAAGAATACCATTGCATTATTTGTATTCTTTTCCAAATAATGCAATGGAAGTTGTTTGAACCTATTTGTGTTGGCTTCAAGAGTTGGCATCCAAATGGTGGTGAACTCCCGTTCACTATTATTGTGATTGTTTTCCAGATGTGCCTTGCTTCAGGCTTCTTATTGGCTGTAAGACACATGCACTCGCGCAGACCCACCCACAACACACATACACACATCCTGCAGGGGTGACCGGGCGTTGCGGTCAAGGGAAATGCACTGAAGACTATTGATCGCTGAGAAAACAATGAGAAAGAATTGTTGACTGTTGGTCTGTGTGTGTGTGTGTGTGTGTGCGTGTGTGCGTGCGTGCGTGCGTTCGTGCGTGCGTGTGTGTGTGTGTGTGAGAGAGAGAGAGATCATTAAAACGATATGATACAACACTATATCAAAATTTGATAGTTTGATAGTTACCGTACTGTATAACAATACTGTAGCTTATGCGAATATGATATTTTGCAATGTGGATGTTTGATCCTGGTGTCTCAACATAGTGTAACTGTGAACTATACGATACATCACAACATCAATATGTGATCAAATGGTATTCATATTTAAGTGTAGGTGATATGATAAATCGTGGCATCGATGCTTTTTTCGACTTGCATCAACACTGCACACACAGTGAACTCCTGTAATTCGTAAATACATCTGCAAATATCCGCAAATACAGAAAATCTGTGAATAATTGACACCCTTCCCTAAAAAGGCGCCGTAATGACATTTAAATGCTATAAGACACTCATGTCACATACCATCCATCCATCCATTTTCTAATCCGCTTATCCTCACAAGGGTCGCGGGCGCGCTGGAGCCTATCCCAGCTGTCTTCGGGCAGCAGGCGGGGTACATCCCGAACTGGTTGCCGGCCAATCGCAGATGTTGCATACCGTACTGAAATGTATAACTACTAATTTCCACACTCCTTGTGGAAAACACAATAACAACAATGGTTGGAATGGCTTCAAAGT